TATATATATGTATGTATGAAAAATATATCAAAAATGCATGTGGGTACTCAAATGAAAGCTCTTGATGAGTGTAACATCGGGATGAGCTTATATCTTTAAAATATATGTTATATATATGTATATATGAAAAATTGATGTGGGTACTCAAATGAAAGCTCTTGATGAGTATAATCTCGGAATGAGCTTATATCTCTAAAAATGTCAATAGTTAAGAAAATACAATGCAATTTAACAAAACCTTAATTAATTAACTTTGAAAAATTCCATTGAACTTCCCCATAAGGCTCCAAAACTTCTCCATATTATTAATAATATCACTCCCCCCCAAAAAAAAATTAAACATTTTATAAATATAACACCAATCAATTTTTCCCCTTGTAATTAAAAAAAATATCTCACTAATTAAATAATTACTTAATTAGTTAATGAATTAATCACTAACAAAACCAAAATTTCTTGAATAAATATATTAATTTATAAAACTAAAAAAATTCCAGCGAAATTACCTAAATGGTTTGGAGAAAGACCCGGCAAGAAGAAGGACGACCCCGAGTCACCAGAGGGCGAGGAAGACGTCAAGGCTGCCGCCGACGAGGACCTAGAGCCTGCAATGGAAGAGGAAGCTGAAGAAGAAGAGGAGGAGGAAGAAGAGGAAGAAGAAGAGGAAGAGGAAGAGGAGGAAGAAGAAGAAGAGGAGGAGGAGGAGGAGGAAGAGGAAGAAGAATAAATATTTAATTTTAATTAAATTCTATCAATATCATTATCATTAATATTATTATTATTATTATTACTATAATTATTATTATTACTATTATTATCATTATTATTAAACCAGAAATTATTGTCGGCTTTTTAATTCAAGTTATTTATTTATTGTATGTCATGATTAATAAAAAATTAAAAAATGCCTAAAAATATTTATTTTTTCCTGAAAAAGATTTTTTTTATTTTATGATTAATAATTTTTTATTTAAAAAATTATTTATTAAATTATAAAGCAATAGTAGTTTGAAAAAAAATAACTTTTTAAATTTTTAAAATTAGGAGAGCTAAATTTTAAATTTTACTTTGGAATTTACTTCAAAAATTATTAAACAATATATTTATAAAAAAAAAATTATAAAAATTCGTTAATTTTAAGGAGAAAAAATTAAAAATTCACACTGGCATCTAAAACTTGGCATTTCTTCACAAAATGGCTGTCTTTGTTATAAAATTATAAAATGGCGGCTAAGCGCGCGCTTTTTTTAAAATACAAAAATGAATTAATCATGAAGTTTTAATTACAAGTTTATTAGCGATGAAATTAATTATTAATATATTAATAATGAAATTATTATTAATTTTAATTAATAAAATTGAAAAATTAAAAATTTTTTTGCTTAAATCTACTTACATATTATTTAAACAAATTATTTGAGAAAAAATAGTTAAAATTGATTAACTTCAATGATAAAAACAAAACAAATTTATATTGGCGTCAAGAACTTTATACTTTATCACAAAATGGCTGATTTTGTTTTAAAATTTTAAAATGGCAAGCGCGCGCTTTTTTAAAATTAAAAAAAATATATTAATTTAAAAATTGTAATTTAACGTATAATATTAATAATAAAACTTTAATTTAAAGTTTTTTAATAAAAAATATTTATTAATTTATTATTATTATAAATTTTAATTGGTGAATTTATAATTAATTTTAATTAATAAAAAAATTATTAATTTTAATAAATAACATTTAAAAACTCAAAATAAAAAATTCAAAATTTAAAATTTTCCCGCTAAAATAAAAATGGCGGATTTAAACCCCCCACTCTTAAAAATATCCCTACTAATCCCACCAGTTACTCAAACAGAATTAGAGAGATTAGAAATGTAAATAAAAACACACTTGTGTTAAGTAAATATTATGAAATATAATTTATATAAATATACTAAACAGAAATATATTTTTTATACTAAATTGTGGTGAGTATTTTATAAATTATTATAATATTTCTTTTTTTATTACAAAAGTAGATTTTGTGGATTAAAAAAAATTCTAACCTAAAAATTACAAAATTAATATTTATAATAATTTGCAGGATTTTTATAAAATAATTGATAAGTTAAGAAATTTAAAAATTAAAAACAATGGCTGTGATAATTGGCAGAAAAGAAAAATTAAATTATGCGACTGCGCAAAAGAAAATAAGTGCCAAAAAAATTGAAGCTTCAATGGAGAATTTTTTAAATGAAAGAATTTGTGAAGACAAAATTAAATTTATGAGACGGGGAAGGGGTAGGAGTTGACTCAAGCTCAAGGATAAATTAATGAGGTAATTTTTTAATAATAATAATGAAAATTAAGTTAGCCGACACTTAAAAATTTTTTTATTCAAAAAATTGACTTAAAAAAAATTTTTATTTGTAAAAAACTTTAAATGCAATTTTTTAAAAATATTTTTTTTGTTCTTATTTAATTATTAAAAAAAATTAAAAATGTCGGCTAACTTTAGTATCATTAATAATGAATTTTTATCAATATTTTTATTTTTTATTTTTAGGTAAGATTTAAAAACAATTTCTACTTTATTAATATGGTAAGAAAATTATAATACATGCTTTAAAAAAATGGTAATATCTCCTAAAATATTGAAAATAGCCTTATAGTATAAAAACATTTTTAATAGGAAATTTCCTAAGCTACAATTTTTGTCTCTTATAATTTTCTCCTAAAATCAATATTTTAGGAGTTATAGCCATTTTTAAAATCCCTAATAAATTACTAGTTAAATTTTTATTTTTTATCCCTGAAAAAAATGTCTAATTGCTCCTTAAAATTACCAAAATAATTTCTCCTAAAAAAAAAAAAAATAATAGTACCTAGAAAAAATCCAACACGTGATAGTATAATACACGTGTATTGTAAATAAAGTTAATCTTCTTAAAAGTTATTTAATAAAATAAATAGCATTGTCAAGAAGTTAAATTAACTATATTTACTATCATCATTATTGTTATTATTATTATTATAACAACAATAAATTCTATAAAATTATTTGGCTTCATATCCGAAGCCATAAAAGAGCCGGCACTAATTCGCCATCGAAGTCTTCTTCAGCGTTAGTTTTACTCTAATTATTAACGATAAAACATCATTCAAATATTTATTTATTTATTTATTTATATATTTATTCATTATATTTTATATTTAATTTTTTTGCTAATTATTCTTATGGTAATTGTGAATATTTATTGCCTATGGGAACTAATTTCTGAGTGAATTTGTTGATTTTTTGCATTGTAATTATGGCAAATGATAATGAAGGGTAAGAATTTTTATAATAAATAATAATCTAGAATTTTTTATACTTTTTTTACACAAAATCGGTAATAGTTGCCGATCTGATATAGAAATCGGCACTTTTTTTTTTATATATCGGTTCTGTAGGACATTCCGGACAAAATCATACCAAAAGATCGGCACTTTTCTAAAAGATCGGTATGGGACTTGTGAAATTCCGCGTTGACACTTTTTTTGTACAAGGCTTCAAACCGCGATAACTACTAAACTATTGAAGTTACAGAAAAAAGTTTCAGACAAAAGTTGTAGGGAATTTTATTTTGGACTTAAAAGATCTCTTATGATTTTTTTTGGATTTTTAATATTTTAGCCGGAATTTTGATTATAAAATTGAGAAGAAATTTTGATCCTTGTGAATTCCTAAAAACTTTAAATTGCAATTATGACTTAATTATTGAAATTACAAAAAAAAAGTTTGGGTCAAAAGTTGTAGGAAATTCAATTATCTACAAAAAAAGGTTTCTTTTGAATTTTTCCTAAAATCAATAGATTTTCCAGAATTTTCATTTTAAAGTTTACAATAAACTTTTCAAGTTTATTAAATAATTTTCAATTTATTAATTATTTTTTTCAAATCGCGATATCTTCTAAAATATCAATGTAATTAAAAAATATTTAAAACAAAGTTCAAATTAAATTTCCTCCTCTACAAAAAAAAGTATCTATCAAATTTTCTCCAAGCTCAATAATTTTCCCAGAATTTTCATTTCAACATTCCTAGTGACATTTTAAATTCTCCCTCTCAATTTTTCTTTTCAACCCCGCTATCTCTCAAACTACAAAAGGTCCAAAAAAAAGTTTCCTACAAAACTTCTACAAAATAAAATTCCCTACAAAAAAAGGTCTCTAACAATTTTTCCGTATCTCCAACCATTCCCCAGAATCTCAACTCGCTCCTTAAAATCACCTTACAAAAGTCGTTAATAGTTACCAATCTGATATAGAAATCGGCACTTTTTTTTCTCAAAATTCTTTCTATAGACCCTTCCGGACCCAAATCTCCCAAAAGATCGGCACTTTTCAAAAATATCGGTAAGGAACTTCCAGTCTCCCCCCACCAAGATTTCTCCCTCTCCTTATTTTAACTCCCTTATATCTCCGCTCGATCCCAACAAAAGTATCGACTTATATACATCATTTCACGCGGAATTTCACGCACTTTCCAATAAAGCCCTTCATTTTCCTCCCAAAAATTCTTTCAAAATCCCCCCACTCCAAAATTAATTTTTTTACTTTTCAATCCCACAAAAAACCTCTTTAAACTCGATCAAAAACTTCTAAGTTAATAAAAAAATCCAATGTCAAACAAAAAACCTCTATTACAACACACCGATTAAAAACAATTACAAAACTGCTTAGTCACCGTATCAGCTCAGATTATTCTTAATAACTCATTAAATTCCCACATTACCATGCAATTTCAATAAAAACAAAGCGCATAAATGAATAAAATGAATACGTACAATTTCCTCAATAAAAAAAAATACTCAGCAGTATTTCCAGCTGTCGAAGTAAATTTAAAGTCTCTTACAAAATAATTTTACGCGTCAATAAATATTGAGACACTTTTTATTATTTATCTGTTTATTTACCGGCGACCTTTAATGCATCGATAAAAAATAAAATAATTAATTTACTGCGCCTACAAAACCGGTTTTATTGTAAATAAATATAATAATAATTTTTTCCTTGGACTTGTTACCTAATATTAATAATAATAATTAATAATAATAATAGTAATAATAATAATATATTTAAATTGAAATTCATCCTTCGAAAAACGGGTTTATAATTATTATTATTGTTTTTTTTTTTGAGTAAATTCTGATCCCGATCAGTTTTCTTGAGACTTTTGTGGAAAATACACGGAATAATTATGAGTACCAATTTGTGAAGAAATGAAAATAAATCTAAGAGAGTGTTTTAAATGTTTGAATTTCCCGCTAGATTGCGGGATAGGTAGAGGGCAAAAGGGCGGAAAAAATGAGTGTGAAAATGTTTTGGAGAAGGGAGTCTACAAGTCGGTGGAATTTGGAGGTGACTTGTAAGTAAAATAATTAATTTTTGGGTGGGGGATTTTGGGAGAATTTTTGGGGGGAAATTGAAGGGCTTTAAAGGAAAGTGCGTGAAATTCCGCGTGAAATGATGTATATAAGTCCGTACTTTTGTTGGGATTGAGCTGAGATATAAGGGAGTTAAAATAAGGAGAGGGGGAAATTTTGGTGGGGGGAGACTGGAAGTTCCTTACCGATATTTTTGAAAAGTGCCGATCTTTTGGGAGATTTGGGTCCAAAAGGGTCTATAGAAAGGATATTGCGAAAAAAAAGTGCCGATTTCTATATCAGATCGGTAACTATTAACGATTTTTGTAAGGTGATTTTAGGGAGCGAGTTGAGATTCTGGGGAAATGGTTGGAGATACGGAAAAATTGTTAGGGACCTTTTTTTGTAGAGATTTTATTTTGTAGAAGTTTTGTAGGAAACTTTTTTTTTGTACCTTTGGTAGTTTGAGAGATAGCGGGGTTTAAAAGAAAAATTGAAAGGGAGAATTTAAAATGTCACTAGAAATGTTGAAATAAAAATTCTGGGAAAATTATTGAGCTTGGAGAAAATTTGATAGATACCTTTTTTTGTAGAGGAGGAAATTTAATTTGAACTTTGTTTTAAATGTTTTTTAATTACTTTGATATTTTAGAATATATTGCAATTTGAAAAAAAAAAATAATAAATTGAAAATTATTTAATAAACTTGAAAAGTTTATTGTAAACTTTAAAATGAAAATTCTGGAAAATCTATTGATTTTAGGAAAAATTTAAAAGAAACCTTTTTTTGTAGATAGTTGAATTTCCTACAACTTTTGACCTAAACTTTTTTTTTGTAATTTCAATAATTAAGTCACAATTGCAATTTAAAGTTTTTAGGAATTCACAAGGATCAAAATTTCTTCTCAATTTTAAAATCAAAATTCCAGCTAAAATATTAAAAATCCAAAAAAAAATCATAAGAGATCATAAGTCCAAAATAAAAATTCCCAAATTTTGTCTCAAACTTTTTTCTGTAACTTCAATAGTTTAGTTATCGTGGTTTGAAACCTTGTACAAAGAAAGTGTCAACCTTTTGGTATCATTTTGTCTGGAATATCCTACAGAACCGATATACAAAAAAAAAGTGCCGATTTTTATATCAGATCGGTAACTACAACCGATATCTTTGTAATAAAGTACCAAAAATAATTTTTCAATAAATCCCTCGAAATAAAAATTAAACAACAATTACATACCCAGACACAATGGACCTATTATAACTTTATAAAATAACTTTCCGACGAAGTAAGTTTACAAAAGAATAACCGAACCGGTCACTCGATCTGTCATCTTCACTAATCGCTTTACAATCTTTACATCCTTTGTATGCCTTATTATTATATTTCCAGTAGCTTTATCGACAATATATAGTCTATACATAGCCTTTTATAGAGAGTAAAGTCGTTCAACAAATCCTCGGGTTTACTTACCTTTATTTTATTTATTTTCCTTATAGATTTATCGTATCTCTTATTTTTAAAAAACTCCGTCATCCCTCAGCTCTCGGGGTTTTATCTTTTATTTCATATATTTTTCACTCCCTATCCATATCTACGTATTTTTACCTCTATATTTATGTATAATATATATAAACCGCTCAGATATCCCATATCGATTCGGTTTTTATAAATATAACTCATATTTTTGTTTTATCTAAATTGTATCTCCCTTCTTATCAAACAGACTGTTTTTTCCCTAAACTTAATCTGTAAACTTTAAACAAGATAGCTTGAAGAATATTTTTAATATAATATCGGTGGTAGTTACCGATCTGATATAGAAATCGGCACTTTTTTTTTTATATATCGGTTCTATAGATCATCCTGGATCCGATGGTACCAAAAGATCGGCACTTTTCAAAAAGATCGGTATGGGACTTGCCGAATTTCGTGTTAACACTTTCTTCGAATTAAACTTAAAACCTTGATAACTACTAAACTATTGAAGTTACAAAAAAAGTTTGAGATAAAACTTGTAGGAAATTTTATTTTATACAAAAAAATGTTTCTTATGATTTTTTCATATCTCGATTATTTTAGTCAGAATTTTTATTTTAAGATTCATGATTGAGAAATTTTGATGATTATCAATTCTTAAAAAGTTTTAATTAAAATTTTTAATCAATAAGTTGTCTAACGGAAAAAATGTTTTGGGACAAAATTTTTAGGAAATTGAATTTTCTATAAAAAAGATTTCAACGATTTTTCTGTATCTCCAACCATTTTCCAAGAATTTTAATTCTTAGATTTATAATAAAGAAATTTTGAACATTATTAATTCCCAAAAACTTTAAATTGGAATTCTAACTAAACTATTGAAGTTACAAAAAAAATTTTAAATAAAACTTGTAGGAAATTAACTTTCCTACAAAAAAAGGTCTCTTACAATTTTTCAATATCTCCAACCATTTCCCCAGAATTACAACCAACATCCCTGAAGACACCATACAAAATCGTTAATAAGTACCGATCTGACCCAGAAATCGGCACTTTTTTTTTTCAAAATCGTTTCTATTGACCCTTCCGGACCCAAATCTCCCTAAAGATCGGCACTTTTCAAAAAGATCGGTAAGGGACTTCCAGTTTCTCCCACCAAAATTTCCCCCTCTCCTTATTTTAAATCCTCTATTACTCCGTTCACCCCCCTCAAAAGTATGAACTTATATACATCATTTCACGCGGAATTTCACGCTCTACAAAACACAAGCAATAAAATTTCAAAAAAAAATTTTTCCACACATTTTTCTTAACCTTCAATGAACACGAGCTTAATTAATTTTTTTTTTTTGTACAACCAAAAAAATAATTAGTTAATCTCGTGTGCATTGTAGGTTACTTGGGATATCACCGGAGCTAGGACAGCATGTACAATTTGTGGAGGGGACACTTTTTGTGTGCCGGGAAGATCGGCTCGTGCCATATAGAAAAAGGTTTGATGAAAAAAAAGTAATTTTTTTATTAAAAAATTAATTATTCCGATTTTAATTTTCAAATGCACGAGAATGTCCTCTGGCGGTACACCTATATATATTTTACGTGTAAATTGAGTGCAGTCGTCCTTTATTGAATATGAATGTCGGCTAATAAATAAAACATGCTCTCGATCTAAAAAAAACTTCGATTTAGAGAATCTAAAAAAAAAAAATATTTTTTTGGGCGAATTTTGAAGTATAAAAATTTTTTAGAACTTCAAAATTAATAAATTTATAATTCCTAAATTTTTTGTACTTAAAAATATTTTTAAAACATTTTTCTTTTATAATAATAACCTAGAAAGGATATATCAAATAACTCGAGAGTAATTAGCTAAAAGAAACTCTATTTAAAATAAAAAACGACCCTTACAATTTGCACAAACAGACTCGCTAAAAAACCAAGATAGCATCTCTAATTAAATTATCCCCGAATTATTAATTCCACGTGAATCCATTAATTACTCCACCTCCTTATCCCCTTAATCCGTATTTACATCTCCAAAAAAATAAATTTCGATTGCGTGCATCATGATATCATTTCACCCCACAAAGATAACAACCCCAATTAATCACAAATTCTAAAAAAAACACCCCGAGAAACATAAAAAATGACCCCTCAAAAAACATGACCTATATCACAAGATCACCATAATAACTTATCATAACAAAAACACACACTAACCCCGGTCCGTATTGCCCATGCGTGAAACCAGGGGTGTTATAGCCCTCAAAAACTTCACCCGGAGTCTCAATCCACTTTCCGAAGTAATTCCGCGCGGTGTACCACCAGCAGAAACTAAAAAACCTCATCACCACATCGAATTCGCTCAAGTATCCTTTAATACAAAAACCCCCGCCATTTTGAAACTACCTGTCCATCTAACCCTGCACAAATTTTCCACCTTCTGTTAGTGGACCCTCACTTGTTAAAACCAAAAAAACCCAAAAAATCCGCCATATTGATATTCTGCAAAGCCATTGAAAATTGTAAGCATATCAATTCAATTGTAAACGCAGGGCAGCAAAATTTGATAACTACGTCGCTGTTAGTACCACTAGGATAACGTCTGGATCGATGGTGATGATGCTGCCAGTGTATATTAGCAAGTGGTGGTGGTAAACCACCCATTGGGCGGGGGCGGCGTACCACCACCTTATAAAGCTCATGAGTACTCTTCCGTCTTTACCAAGAAATTGTCATCATTCATTAGGTTTTTTCCGTGATAATCCAACTGGTGTATCTCGTAATACCGCCACTTTAATAATCAACCCTTCAACAATCTCAAAAGTACCTCCGTGTTAAGTGACATCCCTTTAAGTGATACCACGTGGATAAGTGTTACAAGTGTATTATTATTTTGTTTATACCATTTAAAAAATGTCATCGGTTAATTCCGCGATATTACAACCAATAATTGGGACCAATATTTATCTTAAATCCTTAAAAAATTAACAACCACTTACCCGACCAATGTTAATAATTACAATAACCACGTTAAAAAGCTAGAATGGCCTGGAATTTAAACTCACAAGCGGAATTAAAAGTTTCCGCGTGCAACTTTAAAGCGTTCAACCAGAATGCGAAAGCTCCGTTCGACCTTCAAGAGGTCGCGCACCCCTACGGGAGCGGAAATGAAGTCCCAGTCAAGCTTGGAAGTACCCAAGCAAGTACGCTCTGCCTCTTTCGATGAAATCCAGCTGGAGGTCCAGAGGCTAGATCAGAATTCTGAAATGCGCCAGACACGTGGACCTGGACCTGGACCAGGTTCAGGGAGTCCGATCAGGACTTCCTTGAAGGTTCCAGTGGCCACCAGTCAGAGGTCCAGGTCATTTGACATGTACGAGAAGAGCTCGCTGCTGGGGACGACATCCAGGTCGGTGAGGAAGGAGCTCCTGGTCCAGGTCGCCTGCTACCACTGTGTCTGCGTTGAGGAATTCAAGAAGCTATCCCAGGCCAGGAGCGAGTCTGACAAAGACTCTGATGATGATTCAACTGGTAGCACTCACTTGAGGGTCTGCAATGATGATTACGACGCTGATGATGACCTACCCAGGTCCGACGCTTCCGATAGATCCGAGTCTGCTCTGGAGGACGAGAATGAAGGACCCAGGGACGGAAGTCCGGAGATCAGGGTCACCTTGTTGAATTTTGATGAGTATGATGTTGATGGCAGCTCCGATGAAGGCATCAGGGTCGAGTTTGTCCCTGAGCGGACCAGGAGGCTCTCCAGGCAGGAGGCTTTGATTGAGTTGCCGGCGATTCTTGGACCTGAGGAGGATGATGATGATGAAGAGGAGGATGATGAAGTTGAAAAGGCGAAATTGGTGGTTAGGGATATCTTCTTAACTGTGCCGGAATTGAAGAGAGACAGGGCCGCCTCGGTGGATTCGTGCTTCAATAGTGCTAAAAGCTGCCAAAGTGATGATTCTGGATGTCTGACGGTTCCTCAGCAGGGTGCCAGGTCGAAAAGTGTGGATATTGTTCTGCCTACTGATCAGCAGACGAGATACACTGCGTTGCTGCCGAATAAGGATGATAGAAGAGGGTGGGTAGGTTAGGATAGTTGATTTTGGAAGTTCCTTACCGGTATTTTAGAAGATTTTGAGAAAAAAATGTGCCGATTTCTGTAGATCGGTAACTATTAACGGTTGTATAGCGTCTTCAGGTATGTTGGTTGGAATTCTGGGGAAATGGTTGAAGATATTGAAAAATTGTAAAAAACCTTTTTTTGTAGGAAATTATATTTCCTACAAGGTTTATTTAAAAATTTTTTTGTAACTTCAATAGTTTAGTTAGAATTCCAAATTAAAGTTTTTGGGAATTAATAATGTTCAAAATTTCTTTATTATAAATCTAAGAATTAAAATTCTAGGAAAATGGTTGGAGATACAGAAAAATCGTTGAAATCTTTTTTATAGAAAATTCAATTTCCTAAAAATTTTGTCCCAAAACATTTTTTCCGTTAGACAACTTATTGATTAAAAATTTTAATTAAAACTTTTTAAGAATTGATAATCATCGAAATTTCTCAATCATGAATCTTAAAATAAAAATTCTGACTAAAATAATCGAGATATGAAAAAATCATAAGAAACATTTTTTTGTATAAAATAAAATTTCCTACAAGTTTTATCCCAAACTTTTTTTTGTAACTTCAATAGTTTAGTAGTTATCAAGGTTTTAAGTTTAATTTGAAGAAAGTGTTAACACGAAATTCGGCAAGTCCCATACCGATCTTTTTGAAAAGTGCCGATCTTTTGGTACCGTCGGATCCAGGATGATCTATAGAACCGATATATCCAAAAAAAAGTGCCGATTTCTATATCAGATCGGTAACTATTAACGATTTTTGTAAGGTGATTTTAGGGAGCGAGTTGAGATTCTGGGGAAATGGTTGGAGATACGGAAAAATTGTTAGAGACCTTTTTTTGCAGGGAATTTTATTTTGTAGAAGTTTTGTAGGAAACTTTTTTTTGGACCTTTTGTAGTTTGAGAGATAGCGGAGTTGAAAAGAAAAATTGAGAGAGAGAATTTAAAATGTCACTAGGAATGTTGAAATGAAAATTCTGGGAAAATTATTGAGCTTGGAGAAAATTTGATAGATATCTTTTTTTGTAGAGGAGGAAATTTACTTTGAACTTTGTTTTAATTATTTTTTAATTACTTTGATATTTTAGAATATATTGCAATTTGAAAAAAAAAAATAATAAATTGAAAATTATTTAATAAGCTTGAAAAGTTTATTGTAAACTTTAAAATGAAAATTCTGGAAAATCTATTGATTTTAGGAAAAATTCAAAAGAAACCTTTTTTTGTAGATAATTGAATATCCTACAACTTATGACCCAAACTTTTTTTTTGTAATTTCAATAATTAAGTCATAATTGCAATTTAAAGTTTTTAGGAATTCACAAGGATCAAAATTTCTTCTCAATTTTAAAATGAAAATTCCAGCTAAAATATTAAAAATCCAAAAAAAATCATAAAAGATCATAAGTCCAAAATAAAAATTCCCAACTTTTGTCTCAAATTTTTTTCTGTAACTTCAATAGTTTAGTTATCGTGGTTTGGAACCTTGTACAAAGAAAGTGTCAACGCGGAATTTCACAAGTCCCATACCGATCTTTAAGAAAAGTGCCGATATTTTGTCATCATTTTTTCCGAAGTGTCCTACAGCACCGATATATCCCAAAAAAAGTGCCGATTTCCATATCAGATCGGTAACTATACTCCCTTTTGTAAAAAAAACAACGGAGTTTCTAAGCTTTTCTCCCCAATAATTTATTACACAAATCGGTCAAGTAATCTGTTGCCACCGACCCTCAGAATCCATAAAATCACGTCATCTATTTATATCCGAAATAAAGACATTAAGTACCTGGCAGCCTTCAGCTTGTAATTTAATTTCCTTCGATCCCCCGATAGATAAGTACTCACAGAAATCATTATTGTTCCGCCGATTTTCTTCCACCCCACTGGAGTTAATTAACTTTATTAGCTATTATTCAAAAGCAGTGTTCCTTAAATAATAATACTTATTGTATTTCTGTTTACAAAATGTACACAGTATAAGTTTAGTAATATTAACGAGTTTTCTTAGTAAAAAAGCGGGTTACTGTTGAGCTACGTCGCTAAATTGAATTGGCAAACTTTAGAAAACACAAGTTGCTAAGTTATTCCGTTATTCATTGTAGAGTTTTCGTGGATACAGAGGCTTGGGCTCGGGGGATTAAGCCCGAGGGCTAGAAAGAGAAAAGAGGGACGGAAAAGCAATACTTATTATTATATTATTAAAGACTGAAAAGAGTTGAGTTAATAATACTGAGTACGAAGTTAAGTGCCTCAGGCGACCCTCTTACTTTATATTTCACCCCTCTGTAAATAAATAATGATATACAATATGGGTTTGTATATTTCTCTTCAGTCAATTTGTATTTTGGCTTGAAAAATTGACAATTTATAAGTTTTTTATTCCAAAGATATAAAATAATTTTTTTCTTTTGATTTTGGAGGTTACAAAATTATTTCAAAGTTAAATTTTAGCTTGAAAATAATTTTTTAAAATTTAGTTCCAAAAGTAACCGCTAGATGGCGCATGTGTCGCTTTTCTCGTAAGTGGTGATTTAAAACGTCAAAAAAGCGGGAAATCCAACTTTTTTTTGTCAGGAGTGAGAAAAGACAATGTTTGATTAACAGATCAGATTAATTCATTGTTAAATTTAAAAAAAAATTTTATTTGAGCAAAAAAAATTAATTTTAAACGAAAGATATTAAAATACATATCGATATATTTCTAAAAAATATATATATATATAAAACGAAATTATTTTAGAATCTCATATATATATATATTAAAAAAAAAAATTCAGAACCAATTTAATAAAATAGAATTTTAATTAAAATCACAAATATTTTTAAATCTCCCGCGGATTTTTAAATTCTCGAGGGTTTTTATAACCTTGAATTTTAGCCGCAATACACAAGCGGCAACTTTGAATTTAATCTTGATAAAAAAATGGATTTTTTAAAAGAATTATTTATTAAAAAATTCCACTTACCTGAATACCTTTTCTATTTATTTAACGGTGTGACGACAAGACCACAAAAATGGCGTACCAGAAAAAATAAAACTAACCTAAATAAAAAAAAAAAAATAAATCGGCCAAAAGTAAATTTAGCAGAATATTTATATAATAAATGGGATCAATGTATGAACACCAATTAGTTATTAAAAGACGGTCTATTGCTATGACTACTGTACTATTATTCATTAATCGATTGTTAATAATAATTATTAATTGGTAGTGAGTGTATAAATTTATTCGATTTTGGGGATCAAGAAAATTTTTTTGGGGATAAAAGAGCCCAGAGAGTTGTAGAGCGTGAAATTCCGCGTGAAATGATGTATATAAGTCGATACTTTTGTTGGGATGAAGCGGAGATATAAGGGAGTTAAAATAAGGAGAGGGGGAAATTTTGGTGGGGGGAGACTGGAAGTTCCTTACCGATCTTTTTGAAAAGTGCCGATCTTTTGGGAGATTTGGCTCCGGAAGGGTCTATAGAAAGGATATTGAGAAAAAAAAGTGCCGATTTCTATGTCAGATTGTTAACTACAACCGATTTCCCTTCTTTTCAGAGGGAAAAGCGATTCGGGGGCATCCAGCAGCCGAGAATTGCGTTCGACCCCTGACTGGAGCTCAGAGGCGATCAACGGCGAGCACTTGTGGGTCCCGACAGCCGCTTCAGGAGAATTCTGCTATGCCAACGACTGTTCGGTAAGTCTCCCCCTCCCTCATAACAATAACTCTTAATAAATTAACCTAAAACCTCTTTAGAAGCACGGCCCGAGAGTGAAATGCGCCGCTTGCCGAGTAGTAGCTCACACACTCTGCGCCGCAGGCCTTAACTTCTCCTGCAAGTCGTCGTTCCGCGACGTCGACGTGCGGCAGTACCGAGAACAAACTTCAACCCAGCACCACTGGGTGCACCGCCGTTCCCAAAAAGGAAAGTGCGCGAACTGTTCCAAGGCCTTCCAGTCAAAGCTCTCGTTCTCCTCAAAGGAAATCGTCGCAGTGTCCTGCAGTTGGTGCAAATCCGCGTATCACAACAAAGAGGCGTGCTTTAACGTCGAAAAAATCGGCGAAAACTGCGAATTGGGCGTGCACAACCGGATAATAGTCCCGCCCTCCTGGATAGTGAAACTCCCCCGCAAGGGCCTGTTTAAGTCCAGCCTCCGGAAGTCTCCCCGAAAGCGGAAATCCGGTAAGGGCGACTCCACTCGCCGGAAAAGCGTCGCCCCCGGCGACCCCAAAGACCAGGGAAAAATCTGGGTGGTCAAGCCCATCCCCACCCCCACTGTCAAGCCAGTTATTGTCTTTATAAACCCGAAGAGTGGGGGAAATCAGGGCGCGAAACTCCTCCAGAAATTCCAGTGGTTGCTAAACCCCCGACAGGTGTTCGACCTTACGCAGGGCGGGCCGCGAATGGGCCTGGAACTCTTCCAAAAGGTCCCTAATTTACGAGTTCTGGCCTGTGGTGGGGATGGAACAGTGGGCTGGGTCTTGTCAATCCTTGACCAGATCGGCGTATCTCCGCCCCCGGCTGTTGGGGTCCTCCCCCTTGGGACCGGGAACGATCTGGCTCGCGCTCTCGGATGGGGAGGGGGGTACACTGACGAGCCAATAGGGAAGATCCTTTCGAATATTGGGGATAGTGATACCACCCTATTGGACAGGTGGGAGGTGGCTGTTGAGAAGAACCCTGACGCCGCGGAGGAGGACGACGGGAAGGGGAAGGACAACCTCCCACTTAATGTTGTGAATAATTATTTCTCCCTTGGGGTCGACGCCCACATCGCTCTGGAGTTCCATGAAGCTAGAGAGGCCCATCCGGAGAAATTCAACTCCAGGCTGAGGAACAAGATGTTCTACGGCCAGATGGGCGGGAAGGATTTGGTCAGGAGGAAGTGGAAGGACTTGAGCGAATTCGTGACCTTGGAGTGCGATGGACAGGATATGACGCCTAAATTGAAGGAGCACAGGGTCCATGCTATTGTTTTTCTGAATATCCCCTCCTATGGGGGCGGGACCCATCCCTGGGGAGGCGGGTCTGGGACCAAGGAACCTTCCACCGAGGACGGGTTGTTGGAGGTGGTGGGCCTGACAACCTATCAGCTGCCGCTCCTTCAAGCTGGAGGACACGGCACTTGTATTACTCAGTGCAGTAGGGCTAGGTTGGTTACTACCAGGACCATTCCTATGCAGGTTGATGGAGAAGCTTGCAGGGTGCTGCCATCTATCATGGAGATCAAGTTGCTGAATAGGGCGACTATGTTGGCTAAGAGAAGGAGCTCGGGGAAAGGAAGGACCAGGAGTCAGGGGGATAAATTGGAAAGTTTGAAGTTGCAGATTATGAGGATTAAGATGAAGGATTATGAGACTTATCATTCGGATAAGGAAAGGTTGATTGGCGCTGCTGTTCCTTTGACTCCAGAACCTTTGGATCTTGAGGCTACTATGGATCTCGAGTCGCTTAGGAAGTTGCTGGCCAGGGATTTCAATATGGACAACTGCTGCTTTCTTGATTGTGAGTAGAATTTTGTAAAATTTGATAGAAATTCAAGAATTAATTAAACATTAAGTTATAGACTTTGCAAAGAACCCAAAAATAATTTTTAAGATTTTAGTTCCAAAAGTCGCCACTAGATGGCACTGGTGGCGCTTCTTCTCGCATGTGGTAGAAAAAAATGTTGTTTTTTCTTATTAAATCATCATAGATGTTATAATTTGTTATTTTGTGATGTCCCAAGTCACTAGACGTTAAAAATTTATTTTTGCTACCAAACTTTCATCCAAAAAGATTAAATAAATTGTTTTTAGATTCTTAAAAGTTCAAATTTGGCTTGGAAACAATTTTTTAGATTTTAGTTCTAAAATTCACCACTAGATGGCGTCGACGGCGCTTATTCTCGCAAGTGGTTAAAGAAAAATTAAAAAAAAATACTTATTTCAGCTTGTACAGCTGAAAGATTCTTTAGAATCGACCGAGCTCAAGAGCAGCTGCACTATGTAACAGATGTCGCCTCAGAAGCGGTGTTTGTTCTAGAAGAGGACGCTGCTGTAACCAATATTGAAGAGGCTGGCAAAGCAGACGCCTCTCCAAGGTGACTATTTTTAATTTGATTGATTTTCTTTTACAGATGGCGCTGGAATAATTCTAAAAATTAACTGAAATTATTTTTTGTTTGATTTTATATGAAATTTGGTGTAGCGAAGAACGTCCGAGTACGAGGAGCAAACCGAAGGCGCCGGAACGGCCAGCTGAAAGTATTCCGGATGAAAGTATTAATGTAGAGGGTAAAAGTATTAATTTAGAGCAGAGTAATGTAGATAAGGGTCAAAAAAGTAAAGATTCTGTAGAAAAAGACGTACCGGTAGAGGGTAGCACTGAAACACAACGACACTCACCTGATAATGATAATGATAAGGTTAATGAAGAAAGTGTTCCTAAGAAGGAGCCTGAGCCTAGACAAAGCTCGTCCAAATCTGTTGCGCCGGAGAGATTCGATCGAGCGCCATCTTCTGCTTTTATCAGGTAAGCACTTTCAAGGAAATTTTTTTTTTAATTTTATTAAATGTGTCTTGTAGAGCGTAAAATTCCGCGTGAAATGATGTATATAAGTCCATACATTTGAGGGGGGTGAACGGAGTAATAGAGGATTTAAAATAAGGAGAGGGGGAAATTTTGGTGGGAGGAAACCGGAAGTCCCTTACCGATATTTTCGAAAAGTGCCGATCTTTTGGCATATTTGGGTCCAGAAGGGTCAATAGAAACGATTTTGAGAAAAAAAAGTGCCGATTTCTGGGTCAGATCGGTACTTAATTAACGATTTTGTATGGCGTCTTCAGGGATGTTGGTTGGAATTCTGGGGAAATGGTTGGAGATATTGAAAAATTGTAAGAGACCTTTTTTTGTAGGAAATTTAATTTCCTACTAGTTTTATTTAAAATTTTTTTTGTAACTTCAATAGTTTAGTTAGAATTCCAATTTAAAGTTTTTGGGAATTAATAATGTTCAAAATTTCTTTATTATAAATCTAAGAATTAAAATTCTAGGAAAATGGTTGGAGATACAGAAAAATCAATGAAATCTTTTTTATAGAAAATTCAATTTCCTAAAAATTTTGTCCCAAAAAATTTCTTTCGTTAGACAACTTATTGATTAAAAATTTTAATTAAAACTTTTTAAGAATTGATAATCATCAAAATTTCTCAATCATGAATCTTAAAATAAAAATTCTGACTAAAATAATCGAGATATGAAAAAATCATAAGAAACATTTTTTTGTATAAAATAAAATTTCCTACAAGTTTAGTAGTTATCAAGGTTTTAAGTTTAATTCGAAGAAAGTGTTAACACGAAATTCGGCAAGTCCCATACCGATCTTTTTGAAAAGTGCCGACCTTTTGGTACCATCGGATCCAGGATGATCTATAGAACCGATATATCCAAAAAAAAGTGTCGATTTCTATATCAGATCGGTAACTAGAACCGATTTTCTAAATAAAAACCCCTTTTTCTGCAGTGCTCGCGAAAGACTGTTCAGTTTAGCACCAGAAGTCCAGCTAGGAATGAATCCCCTGCTAGAAAAGCCGTCAGATGGCATCATCCGAGCTGCCAAAACAGGAGACCTCAAATCCCTAAGAGAACTCCACTCCCGAGGGTACTCGCTGCTATCTATAGACGCCAATGGCCAAACTGCCCTCCATCTTGCTGCCAGGCATGGCTACAAAGACATCGTGAGGTACCTGATAGCTTGCGCCCCTCCATCGATCCTCAACATGGCCGACAACGACAAGTAAGTATTACTAAAGATTTTATTTTTTCCATAAAATGCTTTATAAATTACTCACTAATTCTCCTCCAGAGGGCAGACTGCGCTCCACAAAGCCGCGCAGCAAAAACGCCGTTCTATATGCTGCATGCTAGTCGCAGGTGGCGCCACTCTCACTGCTAAAGATCGACACGGGAACACACCCAGGGAACTGGCGCTTATGTCCGAAGATCGGGACCTCGCTGCTTATTTATACAGTAAGTATAAATTTTTTTTTTATTATATATTTGTCATATATTTATATAAAAAAAATGTATTTTTTCTTAGGTCAAGAACAATTTCATCTAGACACCGAAGACATGCTACTGAATCTTCCCTGACCTATTGAGGTCCATTAACTGAGTCATTATCGTTATCATTTTATTTATTTTTGTTAAGGTTAGGTTTTTTTTTAACGTTTTTACGATTAATATGCATGCAAATTCAAAAAATATTTGGAAATTCACTTCTAGACCTTGTAAAGGACTTAGAAATAATTTTTTAGATTTTAGTTCAAAAATAGCCGATAGATGGCGCTGATGGCGCTTCTTCTCGCATGTGGTACAAAAAAACGTTGTTTTTCTGTATTTATGCATTTTAGAAAAGTCTATTTAATATTAAATAAGGGTTTATAAGTCTAGACTCATTTTTTAAATTTTTAGTTCCAAAACTCGCCACTAGATGGCGCCGGTGGAGCTTATTCTCGCATGTAGTACAAAAAAATGTCGTTTTTCTGTATTTATGTATTTTAAAAGAGGTTACTTGATATTCTACAAAGGTTTAGGAGTCTAGATACATTTTTTAAAAATTTAGTTCCAAAAGTCGCTACTAGATGGCGCAAGTGGCGCTTCTTCTTGCAAGTGGTAGAAAAAATTCGTTTTTTTTTTGCTTATTATTCATAGAATACGTATCAATATAATATATTTTAAGAAAATTTCGCTCTAGCCTTTAAATAAAATTGTTTTTTGTTAAAAAAGAGGTCAAAAAAAATTTTTTTAAGTACTATGGGAAAAGGAGTGAATTTCTGATATGAATTGTCATACATTTATTTTTAATTAGAGGTCGAAAAAAAATATACATTATTGTAGTTGGGAAAATTACTAGAATTTTCTCCATATCTTTAGAATCATCCTCAAAAATTCTTTATTATTGGCTTTAAATTTAATTTGTAATAAGAAAAGTTGAATTTCTACTAAAAAACTGCTTTTTTGAACTTTAGTTCCAAAAGCCGCCACTAGATGGCGCTAGTCGTCCCTTTTTCTCGCATGTGGTAAGAAAAATCATTTTTTTTCTTTAAAAATTATCAAAGATGCTCTAATTTTATTAATTGTGAATCAAAAAATTCCCCTAGCCTTAAAAAATGAATTTCTTATCAAAATATTATTCCAAAGATATAAAATAATTTTTTTCTTTCGATTTTGGAGGTTACAAAATTATTTCAAAGTTGAATTTTAGCTTGAAAATAATTTTGGGGAGTTTAGTTCCAAAAGTAACCGGTAGATGGCGCATGTGTCGCTTTTCTTGTAAGTGGTGATTTAAAACGTCAAAAAAGCGGGAAATTCAACTTTTTTCTTGTCAGGAGTGAGGAAAGACAATGTTTGATTAACAAATCAGATTAATTGATTGTTAAATTTAAAAAAAAATTTTATTTGAGCAAAAAAAATTAATTTTAAACGAAAGATATTAAAATACATATCGATATATTTCTAAAAAAAATATATATATATATATAAAAAACAAAATTATTTTAGAATCTCATATATATATATATTAAAAAAAAAAATTCAGAACCAATTTAATAAAATAGAATTTTAATTAAAATCATAAATATTTTTAAATCTCCCGCGGATTTTTAAATTCTCGCGGGTTTTTATAACCTTGAATTTTAGCCGCAATACACAAGCGGCAATTTTGAATTTAATCGTGATAAAAAAAATGGATCTCTTAAAAGAATTATTTATTAAAAAATTGCACTTACCTGAATACCTTTTCTATTTATTTAACGGTGTGACGACAAGACCACAAAAATGGCGTACCAGAAAAAATAAAACTAACCTAAATAATAAAAAAAAAAAAAAATAAATCGGCCAAAAGTAAATTTAGCAGAATATTTATATAATAAATGGGATCAATGTATGAACACCAATTAGTTATTAAAAGACGGTCTATTGCTATGACTACTGTACTATTATTCATTAATCGATTGTTAATAATAATTATTAATTGGTAGTGAGTGTATGAATTTATTCGATTTTGGGGATCAAGAAATTTTTTTTGGGGATAAAAGAGCCCAGAGAGTTGTAGAGCGTGAAATTCCGCGTGAAATGATGTATATAAGTCCGTACTTTTGTTGGGATTGAGCTGAGATGTAAGGGAGTTAAAATAAGGAGAGGGGGAAATTTTGGTGGGGGGAGACTGGAAGTTCCTTACCGATATTTTTGAAAAGTGCCGATCTTTTGGGAGATTTGGGTCCGAAAGGGTCTATAGAAAGGATTTCGAGAAAAAAATGTGCTGATTTCTATATCAGATCGGTAACTATTAACGATTTTTGTAAGGTGATTTTAGGGAGCGAGTTGAGATTTTGGGGAAATGGTTGGAGATACGGAAAAATTGTTAGAGACCTTTTTTTGTAGGGAATTTTATTTTGTAGAAGTTTTGTAGGAAACTTTTTTTCGGACCTTTTGTAGTTTGGGAGATAACGGGGTTGAAAAGAAAAATTGAGAGGGAGAATTTAAAATGTCACTAGAAATGTTGAAATAAAAATTCTGGGAAAATTATTGAGCTTGGAGAAAATTTGATAGATACCTTTTTTTGTAGAGGAGGAAATTTAATTTGAACTTTGTTTTAAATGTTTTTTAATTACTTTGATATTTTAGAAGATATTGCAATTTGAAAAAAAAAATTAATAAATTGAAAATTATTTAATAAACTTGAAAAGTTTATTGTAAATTTTAAAATGAAAATTCTGGAAAATCTATTGATTTTAGGAAAAATTCAAAAGAAACCTTTTTTTGTAGATAATTGACTTTCCTACAACTTTTGACCCAAACTTTTTTTTTGTAATTTCAATAATTAAGTCATAATTGCAATTTAAAGTTTTTAGGAATTCACAAGGATTAAAATTTCTTCTCAATTTTATAATCAAAATTCCGGCTAAAATATTAAAAATCAAAAAAAAATCATAAGAGATCTTTTAAGTCCAAAATAAAATTCCCTACAACTTTTGTCTGAAACTTTTTTCTGTAACTTCAATAGTTTAGTAGTTATCGCGGTTTGAAGCCTTGTACAAAAAAAGTGTCAACGCGGAATTTCACAAGTCCCACACCGATCTTTTAGAAAAGTGCCGATCTTTTGGTACCATTCTGTCCGGAATGTCCTGCAGAACCGATATATCTAAAAAAAGTGCCGATTTCTATATCAGATCGGTAACTATAAACAAAAATCAGTTGAAACTCATACACTCAATAACCAGAAAACTAAAATTAAGAAAAATTAATCCTTTGTAATCTTCCTACGTAACACCACTTGATTATAAAAATTATATAAAAGTATAGTAGTTAAACTATAGTTCCTGCTGTGTACAATCATGTGTATACGCTAGAGTATAAATATTATAAATTATACATTAATTAATTAATAAACTAGGTTAAGAAATTGAAGCCTATTAACTAGAGGGGCCTGGAAATTTTTTCGATTATATTAAAATAATTATTTATTAGACCATTGTCACCTTAAATTGTACTTAATGCCTTCGGACTCTTATTTTGTCAACAAATTTATAACCTTTACACAGTATTGCCTTCAACCTCGGTATTAATATAACTCTTGACTTGGAAAGTCAAAATCTAATACTCTTTTTTTATTATTAATTATTATTTAACTGTAAATTATTATTATTTATGTAATTATACAGCAATAAATACGATAAAGAAATATTTATAATATTGGACAATCATTGGTGGATCTTCCAAGCTAGAGTTTATTGACGTTATTATTGACTATGACTATCTAAATAATTTATTTATAAATAATAAAAACACCAATTACGACAACAATTATCTTGTATAAGAATCTAATAAATCGATTTCAACAAGTTGTGTTGTTTTATTAAAAAAAAAATATTTTTTAGTTCCAAAAATTTCCACTAGATGGTGCTGTGGCGCTTCTTCTCGCATGTGGTCGAAAAAAAATTGTTTTTTCTCTTTTTCAGCATGTTATCGTCTTCGATATTATTTTTTTTCGATTTAGATCCTTTAGCCTGAATAGAGAATATGATTTTACCCCAACAAAGTCCTAAATTAATTTTTTAAGTCCTTTTGTAGGTACAAAACATCTCCAATTGACATTTTAGACCCAAAAGCAATTTTTTTAAATTTTAGTTCCAAAATTCGCCACTAGATGGCGCTTCTTCTCGCCTGCGGTCGAAAAAAAACCATTTTTTCGCTTTTTCAGCATATTATTGTCTTTAATATTATTTTTTTTCAGTTTTGAACCTTTAGCTCGTATATAAAATGTGTTTCTATTAGATAAGTGGTCCTAAATTAATTGTTCTAGCCCTCTAGAAGCTACATAACATTTCCAACTGTCATTCTAGTCCCAAAACCCATTTTTTAAATTTTAGTTCCAAAAGTCACCACTAGATGGCGTTAGTAGCGTGTCTTCTCGCAAGTGGTTACAAAAAAACCATTTTTTCGCTATTTTAGCTTGTTATCGTCTTCAATATTAATTTTTTTCGATTGAGATTTCGTAGCCTGAATATAAAATGTGTTTTTATCAAAAAAAAAGTCCTAAATTAATTTTTCTAGCCCTCTAGAAGCTAGAAAACATCTCCAACTGTCATTCTAGACCTAAAAACAATTTTTAAAATTTTAGTTCCGAAAGTCACCACTAGATGGCGCAGGTGGCGTATCTTCTCGCAAGCAGTAAAAAAAATCCAAATTTCTCAATAATCAATCTCCAAATCACTTTTTCAGATAATACATAAGCTTAACAGGATTTCTCAGATACTCTTTCATATTATACGAAAATTTATCATTAACATCCGGACTAGAAGTACCTGCCATTTCAATATTCGTCCCGCGCCGTACAATAAACCTACTTTTCCCAATATCCTCAACCTTCCAACTGTCATCATTAAATCTAAACGACATAACTCCCTTTTCGACGTCAATTTTCCTTGGCTCTCGATCTTTATCAAAGACCTGTCTCCACTGAATAAGCCCTTGCTCACCTTCCTTGAAAACAAACGAGTCACCATGTAACTCTCTATCTGGAATTAATTTTACCTCCTTACCAACATTAGGATCCTGGACTTGAATCATCACTGTCTTCGTCACATTTGTGACGACATATCTTAAAACCAGGCCATTATCAGTAACCACCCCATACTCAGCCACCTGAAGTTTCCCAAAGATAGCTTGGAGCTTATACTTATTAATCCAGAACATCACCCTGACGTCACCTAGATGTCCGATGCACGACGTTACTTCATCAGCAAAGACCGGCTGCCCTTGAGCCTTCAAAGCATCAATCTTCCCCTTCGTATCCTTCATAATCATAACACCAGGCTGGCTTTTGATCGTCTCCCAGCCCCAATTGTCTCCGTACGTCTGGTTGAGGAACATCTTGCGCATCTGAATCAAACCTAGCGCGTAGTTTGTCGCCTCGCTTTGAAACGCCGCGATGTTAGGTCGCTGTACGCGGAGAGAGAAGACGAATTTCGGCGCCTTGAAGACTCCCAGGCCAATAAAGGGAAAGATTCTGGTCCCTACGGTAGCCGTACGCTTGTACTCCTTAAGCGACGTCAGTAACTCAGTCCCTGACGCAGAACCTGACGTAAAAAGCCCGAAGGGCAGAAAATCCAGCTCTGGATGAAGGACGTCGTTAAACAACGATGTCACTAGGCTGTTGATGTTCGACCTGCGGCCTAACGCGTCGTAGATCTTTGCGTAGAAGTCTAATGAGACTAGATCTTCGAAATTCGCCGCGCTGCGAACGATTGCGGAGCCGTCTGCGTAGATTCCATCTGCGTAAATGCCGTCTTCGACGTCAGCGGTGGTGATTCGAGTGACGTTGAAGACACTATCTAAAGATTTGAAGACGTCGGTCCTAACTTCTTCTCTGAAAGTCCCGCGGGCGTTCAGGTACGTCGCCATCAGACGTGGGATGGCCACACGCGCTAAATCTGCGCCGGTGAGCGTAAAGGTCATTGATTCGTTGATCTTCGGGATGAATTGGGTGATTCTCTGGTAGCAGATGTTTGCAATCGAGGATTGTTCCCCAAGGTACATGTACATCGCAAGCATACGCGTTAGTGGGATCGTTACGCGCCAACGAGGCTTCAAACGGTTGATTACGTCCTGAGGTTTGAATTTTTGGAGGATCGCGTCCAAGGACGCGATCAGGTGCTCTGCGACGAGAATATAGTCGGCTTTGCTGTCTTCGGCGTACTTGGAGAGTACTGCAATGCCGAAGGAGGTCAGCTTCGGGATTAATAGAGAGCCGGCGGAAAGGAAGTTTTTGTTAAAGGTGACGTCGCGCAGCTTCGCATCGCGGTACGTCTTGAAGATAACGGCGTGTTGGCGGAGGGTGATGAGGTTTGGGTTCACAAGCGAGCGTTGGATGTCGTCGTTCAGAGGAGATGCTAGGGTGCTCACGCGCGACGTAGGGAAGAGCAAGATATAGAAGATTCCGATTGCTAGGATTACTATTATGATGTCGATGACGAATGAGTCGTCGATTTTGTTAATTTGTTTTGAAATTTTGTTAATCATGTTTTGCTTCTAATATAATGAGTTTTTTATTAAAATTTTTTTATTTTAGCCAGCTTATATAGCAATCTTAGCCTGGCTATATGTAATATTTATTGTTCTCTTGTTACATCTAATTAAGACCTAGATAAATAACAACACTCCTCTTAACCCACTCATTAATCCTATCCCTGCTACAGTTGACCCTAAGCGAGCAGATCAATTGATCCCGCTGCAAATTATTATAAACTGGCACTTCAATCCCTTCGTCTAGATGCTCTCCATTTCCAATAACATACTTCAGCAAGCACAGCGGCGTATTGACAACAGCCGAAGCCTTATCAGTAACCTCAACCAAGCTTCCATTGCTGATAGTCGCTCCAGTGATTATCAATCCGCTGATAACAACCCCCTTGTCGTGATTCGAGGTTTTATGAGCTGACAGTTCACTGTTCTCCAGCCAGGTGGCGCTGAGCTTAAGTTCGCTCATCGAGACCCTTAATTCCCTAGCAGTGAACTGTTTTACCGCCGCGAGGAATCCTTTTGGCCTTGATAAGAAGCTCAGATTGATGATATTGACCTTTTTGTACTCATTGGAGGTTATCAGCAGGTTATCCACATTGACTCCAGCCAAGAACTTGCTACGCGCTGCTAGGTCGTTGATGAACGCCAAGATCTCCTTGGACCCTGATGGCCAGCGTTCCAATAAGCCGGAGGGCGTCTGGAACAAGCTAAGTTCAGCAAAACACCCAAAATTATCAATTAGGCGTAACTAACCTTGGAAGAAGTGATCCTGTTGTTGCTAACGGCGTCCTTCAGGGTCGACGTCAGAGCATTGAAGTTAACAATCTCGCTGACGAAGAATTCTTGAATTGGGTGCTTGGTCCCCTTTAGGACCTTGATCTTCATCAGCGCAGAGGACAGCTGTTCATAATGACTCTTAATATCACGCTGGAACTTCCCATCCGCTCGTCTGAGTAGCTTCTTGTCCGACGTCATCGACTTGTCAAACACCCCTGAAACAATCCATCTATAAAACCTGCACCTACGCACCTTCCACGCTTACCTTTGAGCTCCGTGACGACAACTTCCGCGGCGGAGCGTTCCCAGGCCCTGAGAGCGTTAGCAGGGAGCCCGAAGATCTCCAGAGGATCGTCAGCGTCCGCCAACTGGTCGATATACCTCGCAGGGTCCCTCTTGCAAGCTTCAGGCACGCTAAGAACCTTTCCGAGCCTCCTGCGTCCTTGGAACACGTCCTGGGCCCAGACGTCCTTGATAATCGCCTCCAGAACCCGCATATCAAAGCGATCTTGAAGCCTGCCGCCGTAGATCGCGACGTCGAGCAGCCCGCGACCTTCCTCCCAATCCAGACGTGCCGAAGGGTTGAATTTAAGCGCGTAGTTTACTACAAGTTCCCTCGCAGCCTCCAGATCAGCCTCGCTCCATTCGTATGCGCGGATCCACCCGCGCGGAACGAACTTCCTGCGTTCCTGAAGAACCGCGTGAAGCCACGCAAGCACAAAGACGCCCTCGGAGTCTTTCGACTGCGGCCGATAGCTTTGGAGTTGGCGTAGGGACCGTTTTAGGTTACGTTTGACGCCCTCTGGCGGTTCGTAGGCGAGTTTAAGGCACAGCCCAGCTAATCCTGGGTAGAAACCCGCGCACTCTTCAGTGGTAAGCCAGATCCGCGTGGATTCGTGCGGCGTAGCATTACGCAGAATGCTTTCTAGCTTAGGCAGCCAGTTTAAAGCCAGCTGGAGGTTGCTCAGCAGGATCCAGCCACCGTTTCTGAAACATTAAACCTTTAGAAGACTTTCAAAGGAAACTTGAGTCTCTACTCACCTGCAAACGTTGTCAATCATCATTTCCGCCTGGTCAACTTGGCCTTGACCCAGCGAGACCTCGACGAATCCTCCAGTGACGTTCAAGCGCGACGCAAGGTTGCTTAATTCCGGCCCAGGGTCTGCGCCGGGGGACAGTAAAAAGAGGACAGGCCGCTTCTGGGCTTCAACTACAGACTCCATGGTCCAGGTGCTTGGCGCCAGGTCCTTTACGCTCAGCTTCTCGGTGACGTACTTGGTCAGCGCAGTGTTTAAGTGATCAGGTCGCAACGCCTGGACCACCAAAAGCTTCTGAAAAGAGCTGCAAGAGTCCTTGTAGATGGTATTCAAGTCATCAAGCCACTCGCTGCGTAATCTAGACCCTAGTTGAGGAATCGCCGCAAGTAGGGCACGCGTAGCTGCCCTGCGCTCTTCTGGCACCCAGTCTGGAACTGAAGAATCCTGCGCTTCTCCTGAGCTCACAGAGTCCTGGAATAAAAGATGGCGCTCGCTGTCAGACACTGGGTACATCACCAGCGCTAAATATAACGCCAAGGGCAGCCGGTCCTTGCGATAGGCCGCCTTTGCGCAGTAGTTCAGCGTGAGTGCCATCAGCTTCTTCTCTGCCTGTCCGTCGGCTTCCTTAGAGTCGCCGTCGATAAGCTTGCGGTGCTTCTCAGCTTCTAAGTAAATCTCCGCGTACGCTTCCACACTGAAGACGTACAGTGGATTAAGGTAGGCAAGAGCCTTCACGGGTTTGAACAACTGCGCGGCGAATTTAGCGAGTTTTTCGTGCTCACGCGCGCGTTGTGTCACTTGGTCACGCTTCTGGCGATTCTGCCCCAACGCACGGGCTATTTCCTTGGCCTTGGCCTGAGTCGCCTCCAGTGAAGACAGCAGAGAGTTCGGCGTCGCCTCTGACGAGTCCTGAAGCAGGTCCTCGCCGCGTGCGTTAGCTAATTGAGCTAATAAATCCACACGCGCTTGATCTCGCTCGCCTGCTAGCTTCTCTTCCAGCTCCAGAGCCTCGCGGCGCTGCTTATCTAGCTCCGGGGTCTCTTGCAGCAGCGCCTGCTCGACGAAGCGCTCAGCAAGGCTTCGCGTTCCCGCTCCCATTGTTATTTTAAAAAGCACCGCGTCAGCTTCGCGGGGCAAGGTATTGATCTTATCACGCCTAGTTGCTAGGAAAAGCTTGAACCCGTTCTGGACGCTGAGAATTCTATCTCCGAGCTTCAAGAATCTTTTGCGCAGCAGAGGAAGAAAAATTGATGGTAATTCGACGATTTCTTCGACCAGCAACGCCTTGCCGAACCTTACAGCCAGCTCCAGCGTCATCAGGAACTTCGCATCGCTGGGCTTCGTCACCTCCAGCTGGTTTTCTAGGTTGCGCTTCAGCCAGTTAACCGCTACGCCACTGGAATCGATAAACAAAGGCACCAGTGGGCCTCGCAGCGCGCAGGCAGCTCCTGCGATGCTCACAGAGTCCGCTGGAAGGTCCTGAGCACGCCAAATCAAGCGCTCGCGCTCTGAAATCAGCAAATCGATAACTTCGCGCCTTTTCTCGTCCTTAATCGTCTCATATACCAACAAAGTAACCGCCTGAGCAGCTTCGACATCCAGCTTCGTCTTTCTTTTGTTCAGATTCTCCAACTGGAGCTCCCAGTCCCGGTACTCGACGTCTAGCTTCTCCAATAATGCACGCGCGGTCTTAAGACTGGCTTCAGTCGCCTCTGACCTGACTTGCAAAGCAGCTGCGCCGTGGGAGTGTTCAGCCAACTGGTCCTGGAGCTGCTTGACGCGCGACTCAACTGAATTAAGTCCCTCGGCTAGTTTATCAATCTGCGCTTCAGCTTCAGCGAGTTTTTCCGCCAATTGACGCTGCTCACGCTCCAGAGGCGCCACTTGCTGAAGAATCTTTCCATACTGGAGATTAGCGAGCACCCAGGCTGCTAAAGGAGCAGCAGCCACTGACGCACGACGTGCAGTTTTCTCCTCAAAAGACTCAGGACGTTCTTTGACCAATTTTTCCACTGCATCTAAGCTGGTCTGAGTGCTGCGCCGCGCGTCCCAAGTCCTGATCTCGTCCTTGACGCCGCGCTTGGCCAAAAATATCTTCATGCTGTTCCAGGAAGTGTCCTTGATACCCATCAGGCGCAACACGCCTTCTAAAACGTCACGAACTGCCGCTGGAGGCGCGCGTAGAGACCGAACCTCTGCTAACGCATCAGCATTGATGTTTGCTACTGCGTGGGAGGCTGCTTCGACCAGCGGTTCAACTTTAGACAACTCGCCTTCGATTACTATCTTACGCCGAGCGAGTTCTGCGCTTTCACGCTCAGTGTCTGCCTTTAAACTCGTCATTTCTCCACGTTGCCCCGTAGCGCCGCGCATCGTCGCTGTTATTTGCTCTAACGCAGCGTTAGCACGGCCAGTTTCTACTTCAAGTTCCTTGCGTTGCTTCGAAGCTTCGTCCTCTAGCTTAGCGACTTTGTCACCCGCTTCTTTCAACTTCCCAATTCCAGCTTCCAGACTCGCAATCTTGGACTCTATGTCCCTCGACCAGGTCGCGCGAAGGTCACTCCAAGAGTTTACAAGTGCGTAAAAGCGCGCTGGAGATTGCTGACCACGCGGAGCCTGTAAGTGAGCTTCTGTTAAATGCTTAAGCCCTTGAGATTCCGAAAAATCAGGCGCTAATTGACCACCTAGCTCTTGGAGCCGCGCTTCTAGCGTCCACCACTCTGCGCCAGGTGGTTCCGCAATCATCAGCGCATCTTCCAGCGCGTAGTCTGTAAAATTCCAATCTGTAGTGTCTACAATCACTACTACGCGCAGCAAGGACCTTAAATGGTGGTACAGAAACTGGTCAAGGCCACCAGTGAGGTCTTCCTTGCGCGCTAGTTCAGTCAACGGCGCCACTAAAGTGTCTAGTTCTTCAGGCGTGTAGAGCCCCGGTACTTCTCCGCGTGAAATCAACGCACTGGCAAGGACATCCAGGCCTTCTTCGCGCAGGTGATGTTCCTCTAGGAGTAGAAGGGTTCGCTCGCCATCGATCCCCGCTGACTGCACCGCAGTCTTGATGGAAGTTCTTCCGCGTCCTGGGCCGGAGTCAATTAGACGCAGCGAGGACACTGAAGCTATCAACTTGGTTGCTGTCCTACGTCCACTGCCAGGTCGTCCCGCCATGACAATCCCTTGGAACCCTGC